CCCAGTTGCTCTGCCCTCCTGTGTCTGTCAGAGTAATGATGTAACCAGTCTGTTCTCACACACCTGGGAGACCAAAACAGGCTGTTGCACAAACTGCCCCTTTTCATTGTAAAGGTGTTCTTTTGCAAGTAAGATCAACCATTTTACAGCAAACATCTCAAACCTGACGAGTTTAACTGCATTCATAAAACTATCACAATGAAGTTGTTTCCCACCCCCCTTCATTTTTTTTCTGTGTTTCATTATCGATTTGTTGATATTAAAGACGTGTTAATAGAAACTGTCCTATTTTGGGAACACTAGCGAAGTGAAGACTCCTGGGAGACGTACATCCCAGGGTCGTGTTGGGTTTTGTTTCTTCTAGATCTCCAGTACAGCTTTATCTCATCACTGGTTTTTACTAATATATCAACAGAGATTCCACCCTCACGTGATATTAGTTGTTTATGTGTAAATGTTAACATTTTTTTCTTGAACCTAATAAATGATTGAAACCCAATTGAAGTCTTTATTTTTTTATTAATGTTGCCCTTTTTACTTATTCTTGTAGTGTGTTTTTCTTCTTCTTCTTCTTCTTCTTGTGGTTTGTGAGTTCATGTCTATTGAGTTTGGCTTGTCTTCTCTTCTCTCCACCCAGATTTGGAAAACTGTGGTAATGCTGGTGTTTCTGGTTTATTTTTCTGTCTGGTTTATGGTTGGCAGAGACTTGTTGCGAGGGAGTATGTGGTTAGTGCACAATGTCAAATTAAGCACACATGGTCGTTAATGATCATTTAGGGAAGTGTGTACAAGTAAAATAGTGCTAAGTAGATGTTTCTCTGCTGTGAAATCTTTTTTATTATTAGTTGCTGAGAGATGGATTCATGTGCAACTTCATGCTGAAAAAGAAATTGATTCTTCAGGGTTTGCCCACCTATTGCATGGAAACTGTTGCTAACGTCTTTATTGATACCTTAAATATTATTTTAATTGAGTAGGTAACACTAGTTAGTGTAGACAATGTTAGCTTGTTGCAAATATGACGTGTAGCATTTTTCTGGAAAACCAAACATTTGTTCATGCTGCATATGTGGAGGATAAAAACGTAGAAATGCAGCTTTCTAGGACGAGTGGATTTTAATCTGATTTACCAATTTAAGAACTGTAAATATACAAAGATATATATATAAATTTTATGTTGATAAAACTTGTAATATGTTTACAGTTGAGACTTTTAATTTTTTTAAACCATTATTTGCAAAGCTATTGGGTTACACAGCTTCCTGTCTCTGGAAATCAACAAATGTCCTCCAGGTTATTGGACAGAGGTATTCAAACAAAACCCTGTAAAAATACTCATCTTTTGTTGCACACATGAAAGATGGATGTTTACAATTATGTCACTGGTTTAAGTGGCAGAATATCCATATATATATATATATATATATATATACTATCCAGGTGTTTTTACTTTAAAAGTAGTGATGTCCAGAAGCTCCATGAAGCGTTCACTCCAACTGAGGCTTACATGCACAACCATGCTGGTCGAAATTATTGGAATTTCAACAACTTATGGCCTCTTCTTGAAAAGAAATGAAAGCACTTAATTTTAATTTTGTGTTTCTTCATGTAAATTTTGATGTTTGGTTAATGGTATTAGAAGTATATTTTAATAAACACATGGCAGTATAATTTCCGTTATGAATACTGGGGTCATGGTGACTTGTCATTTTTATTAAGGACTAGTATTTATTCTAGTATGTATCCAAGGAAAATAAAAAGCCTTAAATTGTCCCACCTTTCCATTACCAAAAAAAAAAAAAAATCTCAACGTGTTAATATAAAAAACTTTATTGCTGAAATCGTACAAGGTACATTAGGCAAGTGCAGTCATTAAAGAGAAACTCTCAGTGACTTAAAGTTTTTATTTACACATAAAACAACTTATTCTGTGTGTGACGGTTTCACATTTAAAACTTTAAATACTTTGTTTTTTTTCTGTATGGGTTTTATGAAATCTATAAAAATTGTTTTTTTTATTTAACCCTTGTTGCAATAAATCCAAAAAAAAAAAAAAAGTTTTTGCTCTCCCTGTGGTAAACTATATCCCTGGAAAATATACCCTTTTTACACCATATACATATATAAACACAAGTTTTCATACTGTGAAAACTGCAACTGCTAATAAAATCCTGCAGACCAGTTCTTTGTGTATGAACTTCACCAAAGTGTGTGTTCACTGACAAACAAACGCTGGGAACATTTTTGAGTCAAAATGTCCGACTACACACATTATTCATAACAATTCCTTGATAAATATTATCATACAAGTTATTACAGATTGGGAGCCAGCTTCCCATCAGTATTTCTAGTATTATTGTTAGTTCATTGTCTTGGTTTACTCAGAGCAGGTCCTCCTTTGTCTGTTGTGACTTTGTGATAAATACAAAATAAGTTCATTGTTGCAAACGTTATCAAGGATTCTGTGCTAACCAACAGTCCATCCAGGGTTCACATCTGAAGAGGCTGGGGAATTAGACAAAGCCATCCACTGAAAAGATTACCTTAAGTCCTTTTAGGCTTTATTAGGACATTTCCTCTTCTTCCTCACCATAAAGTCTTCCTCAGGGACTTACCACTTACCAGGTATGGGAGTACCACACTCATACCAGCCCACGTAAGTCACATGAGACTTTCCACCAATATCGCCAAAGTTTACAGGTTCATGTCTCAATGCTCTGAAGAACCCTGACACACAGACACAAAAGGAATGAGTTCTCACAACAAAATAGGTTAAATGGCCGACAGCTGCACATCAAATACCTTGTCTGATCTGCAGCTGTTCAGCCAACATCCTTGTTCCAGTTAGACCATCCAGGAAGGAGTCCACAAACTGACAGTGGTCTTCACCGTACCCCGTCTGATCTCCAATGTTGTAAAACTTCCCTGCAAGAGAAGGTGCTGTTTATAAGACTGGGCTTGTTACAAGATCTCAGACTTAAGAAGTTTTTTGGATAAAAGACAAAACGTTTCAACAAACAAGAATTTGTCCAGAGAGGGCTTGAGATTTTTCTGCCTGGATTATTGAGCATGCATCAGGACATTCCCTGGAAGATACTAAATACCTTACTGCAGTACGGTATTTGCTTATCCTTAAAGTTGAATATGACACTAGTCAGACTGTTACGATTGTTAGATTTTCTTGTAAACTTATGGGGTTTTCCATGAATTTACGCTACATCGTTTGTTTTGTGATAAAAAAAAAAAAACATTTTCTGGCCTATAAGTCACAGTTTTTTGCCTAATTTGCATGCCCTGCGACTTATACGGCGAAGCAACATATTTAGGGATTTTTACACTTTATTGGACATAATTGGACTGATGCGACTTATATAGTGGTGCAACGTTTACGGCAGAAAATAGGGTATATATTTTTTGTCAGTGTCAAGAAAATAAAAATCTAATTTAGCTTATTCTCGCAGTTTTGTTTGGTCATTTCTGTGTGCAAATACCATTGAGCGAGTCACTCAGGTAGATCTTGTATCTCAAGGAGTTGCAGAGCTGGATGCCCACAAACTTCCTGTACCAAGTCCTCTTGATGTACTGCTTTCCATCGCATTCAGAGTAGGCGTCGGCTTTAAACGGGAACTGAGTCCAGATGGCATTCTTGCCTGTGAGCAAACAAAGTGTTTAATGTGCTGTAGGGAATGACGGGGAATGCTATGATGACGGGAACAAAAGATTTACCTGAGGCTTGCTCGCTCACACGGGGATCCGCTGCAATCGAGAGGGAAAGAACAAGAATGAATGACACCATCAAATTCAAAATGCTGCAGAGCCTATTTGGCATTGTATTTAGTGTTTAACGGCAAAATGCAGGACTTTTATTGCACGGGGGTAGAATGTCAAATAAACAGCACACTCAGCAGTAGAGTTTTGAGATAAAATATAATTTAATCTGCTACCTAAAAGCTTTGATCAGCAGGTAGATGTGTTAGACATCCTCAGATGAGCTGATAAAGTGTTTTACGTCAGACCATAGGACCACGTTAAATGAATACACTACTAGCCAACCTTTCAAGAATCAAAGACATTGAATTGACTGTTAAAACAATAACTTTAATTTGCAACTAACTGGTTTATTTGTTAAATGAAAGCACATCCAGCACTCGTCAGATGCTTGTGAGAACTTGCCTGATTCTGTGCTAAAAGTAACTGGCTCACTGGTGGGTCCGGTTCCCAGTTCATTCTTTGGCGTCACTTTGAATTCATAGCTGAAAATATGAAACAAATGTGACAAGAATTAAAAGTAGCAACATGTAATACAGCCCGGTGCATGGAAGACTTGATACTTTTATGGTACATATTGTACCTAGCAATACATAATGCAACCGGGTATATGGCAGACCTGGTACTTACATGTATATGGTACATAATGCACCTAGCAATACATCATACAACCCAGTAAATGGCAGACCTGGTATTTATATGGTACATACTGTATCTAGCAATACATCATACAACCTGGTACTGTACCAAGCTGTATTGTGTTGCTACCAAATGGAAATATTTGTTTGAAGCAGAAAAAGACAAACGCATAATCATAACTTTATATCTTTATAAGGATATTGTACTGACTTCTATTCAATCTTTCAGCCTAACACAGACCCTAACCCTAACCTTACCCCAACTTATTTCACATCTTAGCCGCCAAACCACACGTAATGTACAATATTAGGGCTAGACTTTGGTTTCTTTCAGGACCACTGGTCCTGACAGAGTTGGTGTTTATTCCAGAAAAAAAAAAATGAAAAGGTCATAAGCCAAAGTCCACACACAGTTGATGGATATTCCACGTGCTGAATTCAGATGTATTAGCCTGTCCAGCACACAAAGCAGCCCAGGGGATGGTCCTGGTAAATCTCTGAGATGCTGACATTTAATTAAAAACTGAGGGACCTACTTCTTCTCCACCCACATTTCCTCAACTTTTGTATGACGTTGTTTTTATTTTTTGTCTTTTTGGCACAAAATCAGAAGTGACTTTTGTGACTCACTGCATGTGCTTCCAGAACACAGAAATCCAAAAGAACTTTATAAGCAGCAGACCAACAACTCTGCTGAGCTTTTTATACCTCTCTCCTAAAAAGCTCAACACTGAACCTCAATGTGCTTAGCCACTGGTCTGGCCTTAAACTGTTTTATTCTCTCCAGCATTACTAGTATTGTAATCTAAACCTGCCAGTTGTTCTGAAACTGAATGGAAAATGGATGATATCACATAATGTAGTCATTGTTTCATACTTGCTCTCTGGTGTGAGATTCTCCACAGCTGTGTGTGTCTGGTTGGTTGTCAGTATGGACACTTCTTTTCCATGTGGTCCGGTGGTTGTGGACACAACTTCATACTCTGACAGGCAAGGAAAAACATATCACACTTAAATAATTTCATATTTCAATTGTGACCATTTCACCAGAGTGCTGAACAGAGTGACACTGTTTAATGTTTGGGATATAAGAAAAGGAGGCAGATTATGACTTATTAAAATCTTTACATATCCTTGATCACTTATACTTGTGATAAAAAAGTAGACTTTTGATTTGTAAATTTAGATTAAATACTTTGAACAAATTTGAATATCTGGCACATGTTCTGTTGGACCATTTTTTTTAACCTTCTTGTTTGCATTACCTGACTACACAGCCACTGAAAGTAAATTTCGTTATAGTAGGTGTTTATCAGAGAACGTTGTAACCAAATTTAAATAATCGCATCCATTGATGTTTTACTCTGTCTTTCAGAGTAATGCAATAGAGAGCAGTGACTTAGATGATCTTGTTTATAATTTTACAACTTCTGATGCAAACTTCACTTGAGAAAATTGCTTTGCTGACAAAGACAGTGATCAATCAGAGGAAACAGGCTCCTTGGTTCAATTCTGAGTTACGTACTTTAAAGCAGGCATCTAGGAAGCTGGAAAGAAAATGGCGCTCCACTAACATGGAAGAATTTTATTTAACTTGGAGAGAGAGAGTCTGCTAACCTGTAAGAAAGCCCACCTTAAAGCTAGAGTTGTATATTATTAATCTTTAATAGATAATAAAAATTATCCCAGGTTTCTGTTGAGTAGCTAGACTAATGGAAAGTCCTATCTCTGTTGAGCCATGAATCCTCACAACCATAAGTATTGATGACTGCATGAGATTCTTTATAAATAAAATTATTTCAGAGAAAATTCAAACCATCTTTCTGTTGCCTCCTATTCTCTGTCAGATGAGGCAGCTTTAGAAATGTCACTAGAACCTGGTTTGTGTTTAGACCCTTTTTGTCCTGTTGAGCTCTCTGATTGTCAAAAATAATAGCTTAATCCAAACCATCTGCATGTCTACTAGATCCAATCCCAGCCAGACTGTTTAAATACATATATCTACTAATTGATGTCCACATTTTGGATCTGCTTAATTTGTCTCTAATGAATGGTTACGTACCACAGCGCTTTAAGGTTGCTGTAATGAAACTTTTCCGTAAGAAACCTAATCTTGATTCAGGAATTCTGGCCAATTAAAGACCTATATCTAATTTAACATTCATCTAAATAATTCTTGATGAAATAGTTGCAAATCACTTGTGTGAACATCTGAACATAAATAATCCGTTTGAGGAGTTTCAGTCGGGGTTTAGAGCTCATCATAGCACAGTAACAGCACTGGTGAAAGTTACTAATAATATTCTCATGGCCTCTGACAATGAACATGTATCTATACTGGTCCTGTTAGACCTCAGTGCTGCATTTGATACAGTTGATCACAATATTTTACTACAGAGGTTTGAATATGATATTGGGATTACAGGAACAGCCTAAAATTGTTAAAATCATATCTATCTGATATATTCCAGTTTGAAAATGTAGGAATCTTCTTCATACACCAAAGGTAGTCATGGAGTTCCTCAGGGCTCAGTGCTTGGACCAATACTCTTTACTTTATATATGCTTCTATTAGGTAAAATTATTAAACAGCATGGGATACATTTTTATTGTTATGCTGATGATACACAGTAACATTTGTTCATCAAACCCAATGAATCCAATGAGTTACTTAGACTACAAACATGTCTTAAAGACATAACAATTTGGATGACTCTAAAAAAAAGTTCAATCTGGTCCTCTGGACATTCAAAAAAAAAAAAAAATTGTAGAAACGTTTCGTCTTTCATCTGAAAGACCTTCAGTCTGAGGTGCTGTATTCAGCTCAGTCTCTTAAATAGCACCTTCTTGTAGTGGATCAACCAGTTTGCTGCTGACAACCAAAACCAGCTGCTCACATGATCAAGAAGGACCATCAGCCTAACAATGGATCATTAGCACACTGATGGCTGTGTACTATTCACAGGGGGCTGAGTGATACTAGCAATAACAGCATTGAAAGAGGGGGACAGTTGAATCCGGAGGCCTCCACCCCGTTTAATGATGGACGATTTCTTTTCACAAAGATGGCCTCCTTTACTCCTCTCTCAAATCATCGTTCCTCTCTGTCCAGGATGTGAACATCTTCATCCTTGAAAAAGTGACCGCTGGCCTGGAGATGAGTGTAGACCGCAGAGTCCTGGCCTGATGATGTTGCTCTTCTGTGCTGGTCCATCCTTTTGGCCAGTGGCTGTTTAGTTTCCCCCATGTAAGACTGATCACCCTCCTGACACTGAACAGCATACACAACATTACTCTGTTTGTGCGGGGGATTGGATCTTTGGGATGAACCAGTCTTTGCCGTAATGTATTTTGGGGTTTAAAAGCCACTGGGATGTTGTTTTTAGAAAATAAATGTCTCAGTTTCTCTGATACTCCCTCAACATACAGAATGACCACTGGTCTGGGTCTGTGTTCCTCCTTTTCACCTTATGGCTGACTGGAGTCCTGTTTGGGTTTCTTCTCTGCTTTCAGGAAGGCCCAGTTAGGATATCCACATTGCTCTAGAGCCTGTCTTGTGTGGGATTTCTCTTTCTGTCTGAATGTCCAAAGGACCAGATTAAACTTTTTTAGATTTTTCTACCTGGATTACTGAGCATGCATCAGGATAATTTGGATGACCCTTAATTTTCTGCTTTTAAACTCATACAAGACAGAGGTTTTGAGTTTTGGACCGGAACATCTTAGGAATAAAATTTGAAGTCTTTCATTTCCTCTAGATGGCATCAATTTGGCCTCCAGATCTAATGTAAAAAAAAAAAAAACCTTGGTGTTATATCACTAAAGTAACATCTTGTCTAAAAATGATGCAGAAAAACTGGTCCATGCATTTATCACTGTCATGATCAGCGGCCCCTGCTGGCCCCCATCTGCTCTCTTCCCTGCCCCTTCATGACATGCTATGTTTTCTGCCATTCTGGTCATAGTTTCTGTTCATGTTTATTCTCATCTCCTGTCAACCTGCACCTCTGCCTGCTCACTTCACCACACCCCCTCAGCTTATCACAGCCCCTGTTTTAAGATCATTCACATTTTTTCCTGCTTCAGTTTTGAGTTACCCTCTCATTCATTCAGCTCCTGTCACTCTGGCCACTCTCCCTCTGTCATTTCTAGCTGCCTGTCAATCACCCCTGCAAAGCCTGCCTGCCTGATTTTCCCTGATCACAGTAATCAGTGTTGATGCTCTACACCTTCCATGGTCCCTGATTTTCAAGCCCTCATAGTTTCATGCCTAGACCTCAAGCCTTGTTCTCTGGATTATTGACCTCACGCCTGCCTTCTTTATTACCTGTTTTTTGCCTGCTCCTCATCTGGTTCTGTTCTGCCTCTCTGACCACGGTAACAACCTCCTTTTCAGTCTATGACCTCGACTCACGGATCACCCTTTTGGATTGCCCTTTGGACCACAACCTTTCATTGCCCCACTGTCCATAGCATTAAAGGCCTCCCTCTGCAGCTACCAGCAGTCTTATTAATAAAAACTGTTAATTTTTGCACTCCTGTGTCTGGCTTATATTGAATCCAAAACCTTGGTTCGTGACAGAATAATCTCACCAATATGGATTCAAAGCCAGACCAGGAGTGGCTCTCAGGGGTCGAGAGCTCCCTAACACGTCTGGACACTCAGTTACAGTTTGTTAAAACTATGCTCTGTGCCAGGTTTTGCCTACCCACCCCAGTGACTTTTCATAGCCCATCGCCTGCTGCAGCTATGAGCATATCGCCTGCTGCAGCTCTGAGCCCATCGCCTGCTGCAGCTCTGAGCCCATCACCTGCTGCAGCTCTGACCCCATCTCCTGCTGCAGGGCCCCAGGCCTCCACACCACCTGCTGCGGGACCCCAGGCCTCCACGCCGCCTGCTGCATGGCCCCAGGCCTCCACGCCGCCTGCTGCAGGGCCCCAGGCCTCCACGCCGCCTGCTGCAGGGCCCCAGGCCTCCACGCCGCCTGCTGCAGGGCCCCAGGTCTCCACGCCGCCTGCTGCAGGGCCCCAGG